GAAGAACTACTTAAAAGTTCTGGTGGATTTTCTGACACACAATTGGGATTTATTGTGTGTTTGTTGCAGCTTACTTTAGAAGATAACTTTTTCATGGTTTTCTATTCGCTGAGCTGCAATAGATTTCCAGAACAGCTACTCCTTATGCAGTAGGATCTGGGTATAGGAACATAGCAAAACTTGAGGTTTTTTTTGTCAACACTGTGTGACATAGGTCTGTTATATTAATGACATGCTTGCTGTTTGGTGTAGAGATAAGTCCTCCCTTCCACAATTCCATTAACAATTTAATAGCATGGTGTTTGAGTTGCCACTTTAATACACTTTGGACATGATAATGTTCCCTTTCTTAACAAATAAATATCTATTAGTGATAATATGTTAGTAAGTGATATTCATGTTAAAGCCACAGATACAAATAGGCCATTACACTATGCAAATTTTCATTCTAGAAACAGATTTATATAAATCCCCAGGGTACGATTTAAAGTGATATTAAACTCTCCCTGAAGAAAATTATATGTAGCAGCATACCTTACACTTATGCTTATTTCCAGGTGCCTTTCTGTGTTTGATATCTGTTTGGAATATAGATGTAACTCGCTGCACTCCTTACCGGTTTGTAGGTAATCCTGTGAAATCCAGGTGGGTGCTTGTAGTGACCATGGGCGGCACCGTGCAGTATACAAAAAATCTGAGAATGTCACCAGCACACCAATAATTGAGTGAATTTAGTCCATTAGACAAATGCCATCCAAGTGCATGCGCTTTCGGGGCCGCACAGGGTCCCCCTGAATCAGGCTAAGGAATGACAACATAATCAAACAGCAACACCCTTTAAATAGGCATATGCAAATATGTTAAGAAAGGAACCTCCTAACCTTGCATTCACTCTAAAGTGACATTCTCCCGCCACAGAGATAAAAAAAAACAGAACTTACAGGATGCGGTGAGTTTTCGATAGAACACCGGCCGATGTGTAAAGGTCTTAGTGTCCGCTTCACGCAGGCGCAGTGCGGACAGGGGACTGAAGCCAAAGGTAAAACAGGTTCTAGCATTCCTGCGGAGCTTGTTTATAAACAAAATCCCAGCACAAATAGTAAATAAAGGCAAAATGGATCTACACGGAGAAAGAATTAAAAAAAACTGTGATCCTTATACAAAAATGCCCAATCATGTCATATAGCAATATAAAGCTAATGTTACCTGAAAGTGTAACCGTAGTTCATAATAAATAATATGAATCCAAATGTAATGACCTTGTAAAACTTGTAAAAAGCCAAGACATATAACACAGTGTATACTGTTAAAGACAAACAAACAATGATTGTATATAGTTTATGAATACATATACAGGGACATGAAAAAGATATATAAGGGATTGTGCAGAATATGGAGAGAGAGGGAGAGAGGGAGAGGAGGGAAAGAGGGAGAGAGGGAGGGAGACCTTATAAGTACCATTATGATGCACGAGATGTACACTTGGAATATTGATATAGCAATGACACCCTAGATGTAACTAACTATCAATATAATGCCTAAATGAATCCCAAACTAAATATAGTTGGTATAACCTCTTTAAAGAGATGTATATTTAATTAAAAAAATCAGCATTAAGACACATATACAGTATATCCTATTTGTGGAAATATATGCAAAAGTAACCTGTTAGGGGGCACACTAGATCTACCCTGATTGTCATGGGGTAATGGGCGGTAGGAGTACAGAAGGAAAAAAAAAGGGGGGGGGAAACAAAAAATTAATACCCATGGTGAACCGTGTGTACCTGTGGATAAAGGGGGAAACCAGAAGGGATGTATAAATACCATTTAGAAATGAGGCTCCAGAGCTGCCACTGTTAACATCTCAAAGAGACCTTACCCATCTCCCAGTTTCGGCGTGTTATGAGGATCTGCTCAGACCCTGCCACCTGTACACAACAATTAAAATAAATGGTTGAGCGCTTTGCTCAAAGGGGTTATCCCAGTAATAACATTGATGCAGCCTTGACCAGGGCTATTGAGAAATGCTCTGGTTTTGAGAATACGCATAATGTGAAAGACAGGCTTTCGTTTATACACACATTCACTCCAGCTAGTAAGTATGTCCATAGGGCCACCGCAGCTAACCTAAATATATTACAGGCTGACAAGACGTTGAATCAAATAGTGAAGAACAGAACCCTGCATGTACACAAACAAAGTAGTGCGTTAAAAAATCTCTTGGTACAGACGGACCCTCGGTCCAAATATGCAAAAAAATTATTTATTTTTCAAACAGAAAAGGTTGCTTTAGATGCTATCACTGCACTGTAACATCTGCATTTCCATCATTAATGGTGATTCCTTTTCACACCCCTACACAGAAAAAAATATATAAGATCCAAGGTTATTATACTTGTGACACCGATTTCTGTGGGTACCTGCTCAAATGCCTTTGTTCTTTGGTTTACATTGGCAAGATAATCAGTCTGTTTAAACATCGGATAGCCAGTGGCGGACCCATGGAACAACGGGACCTGGTGCAAGATTTCCCCCCCCCCCCTCCCCCGACTCTTACAATGTAACCTTTCCACCTATAGCCGTTACCCTTCTGCATTTCTGTATAGAGGACTACAACTCCCAGCAATACTCTCTACATAAACGCAGAATGGTAACAGCTATAGGGGACTACAACTTCCAGCAATACTCTCTACAGAAAGGTAGAATGGTAACGGCTAAAGGGGACTACAACTTCCAGCATTACTCTCTACAGAAATGCAGAATGGTAATGGCTATAGGGGACTACAACTTCCAGCATTACTCTCTACAGAAACGCAGAATAACTCATAGATAGGAGATCTCTACATAATCTGCACAAACCCATATATATCTTTTTCATGTCCCTGTATATGTATTTTCGTCATAAACTGTATTCAATCATTGCTTGTCTTTAACAGTATATACACTGTGTTACAGGACTTGTCTTTTTACCAGTTTTACAATGTCATTACAATTGGATTCATATTATTTATTATGAACTATGGTGACACTTTCAGGTAACATTAGCCTTATATTGATATATGACAGGATTTGCCATTTTTTTGTATAAGGATCACCGTTTTATTAATTTTCTCCATGTAGACCTATTTTGCCTTGTTTTGCCTTTATTTACTATTTGTGCTGGGCTTTTGATGTAAATTAGCTCCGCAGGTACGCTAGAACATGTACTACAGTTGGCTTCAGTCCCGTCCGCGCTGCGCCTGCGTGAAGCGGACACCAAGACCTTTACACATCGGCCAGTGTTCTATCGAAAACTCACCACACCCTGTAAGTTCTGTTTTTTTTAACCTCCTATGGTGGGAGAATGTCACTTTAGAATGAATGCAAGGGTAGGAGGTTCCCTTCTTAACATATTTGCATATGCCTAGCGGACACAGAGACCTTTACTCCAACGAGTTGGAATTTTGGATAGAACACGGATCCCATTGACAGTGAGGGAAGGGAATCGCCCTTCGTTCCACACGGCGCACCCGCTAGTGGACGGGGTGGAGCCAATCCCCTGCTTGGCGTCCTGTGGCCATGGTGACGGACTGATGTGAATACAATTAATAGCTGTGACAGCACTCTCCATCACATACCGGTGTTCTATCGAAAGTTCCAACTCGTCGAGATCTCTAACAATCTGACTTCCGATTTAGTTAGAAGTAAGGAGGTTTGGCCAAGAAGGCTCTACTGCACGTTTTTAATCTAAATTGCCCCACTCAATATGGCCGCCGCTTGTGTTAGCATTATGGTTAGCGCTTCTGCCTTGCAGCACTGGGGATCCATGGTTCGAATCCCGGCCAGGTCACTAACTGCAAGGAGTTTGCATGTTCTCCTGTGCTTGCGTGGGTTTCCTCCGGGTACTCCGGTTTCCTCCCACACTCCAAAGACATGCTGGTAGGGTAATTGGCTTCTTTCTAAAATAAAAGTTGGCCCTCTATGTATGCATCTGAGAGAGGGACCTTAAATTGTAAGCTCCTTGAGGGTAGGGATTGATGTGAAGGTGCATTCTATGAACTATGTAAAGCGCTGCGTAAAATATATAAATACCTGTAATAAATAAATAAATACACCGCGCCTGGCTTCCTGATTGGCCGGGAAGTCAGCTCCATGCTCAGAGCATCAGAATCAGAAATCCGGGGGACGGGTAATGACTCGCCGTCCAGCTTCCTTATTGGCCGGCTTCCCGACCAATCAGGAAGCTAGGCAGCGAGTCTCTACACGCTGCCCGGCTTCCTGAGGGAGCATACCTGAGCTTCCCGGCCAATCAGGAAACCTGATACCGGAAGTTCAGGTATCGGGCTAGGCATCTGAACATTTGGGTGAGTATGAGTACTCGCCCAAATACTTGGCACCGATACTAGTATCGGTGCATCACTAATATATACAAAATGTAAACATATGAAAAATACAAAAATATAGATTCAACATTTTAAAGGGTTTTGTTACAAAATAGCTACCCATTCTGCTGATTTAAGATTGTAAGGTCTCTTAATGCTCATAGACACTGACTGAATGCTCTCTTTATGTGTATTTATGGAATACTGACTGAGTGTTCTAATGCCACAGTCTGTTAATTAATCTTATTATTCTTGTGTCAGTATGACTTACCATCATTCAATCATTGGGCTAACATGAAACATTCAGTACAAGCAGACTTCTTCCTAATCCAAATTGCATACTAAACAAGCAACCGCATAATCTTTTCAGTTGGGAACTAGACATTCCAGGTCATGGATTTAAAAAACTTGGTAGGAAAACAAAGCAGGGTATTGCCCATAGCAACAAATCTGTTTACTGTACATGTGTCATTTTTCTATGCAACAAAAGCAAATCTAACACGGATGTTGTAAACTTTCACTTTCCTCCTCTAAGACAAAAAAATTAGCACACAATAAAATAAATTCAGCACATCCAAAATTTGTTGATAAATGAACAGAGCATTGCATGTCTGGCATGTCTGTCAATGGTTATTACCTGTACTTTGTTTTCTGGTGCATCCTTTTGGAGCAGTTGATATCCCAGATTAGAGATCTCCTTCTTGATACTCATCATAATATCAGAATAGTTATCATATTTCTTCATCTGGTTGGAAAGGTTTATCACACTCTCCTTCATGAAGTCATTTTCACGAGATAAATTTGTTTTGATGGTCTAGAATTAGATATTACAAATATAAACACAATCATGCTTGCTGTATAAATATTGTTTTGCGTGTGCTCTGAAAGAGCTTTGCTAAGATTTACTTATTAAAATATCAAAAGTAAAATTTATTCTAATTGCCTATAACAGATCTGATATCACCTTTCATTTTGGAGAATCTAATTGGTAGACCTAGATAACACAAAACCAGAATGAAACCAGAACAGCACCTCCATTTCTCCCTTATATTTGAATAGAAATGAGCTATAAGCCAACTTTAACATTGTTATATATACATCTACCATTTGTGTTACAATACCAAGTCATTCACCATAGAGTGGTTACAAAACATTAATTAAATCATATTCCCATCTAAATAATATAAACATAAATGCATGTATAAAGTCCTTTAAACTCTTTAAAATAATGCAAAGATTCTGCTCAATGGGGTTGATTTAATAAAGGCAAATAGGCTGTTCACTTTGCAAGGGAATTTGCACATTGCAGGAGAAGTTTCACCCTAAGGTGGCTATACACTAGTAGATTTTCGAAAGAACTTTCGTACGAAAGAGCTTTCATTTGACTTTCTATTAGTTGATGGGGTTGAATCAATCACCAATTTTAACCATAGTGGCAAAAAAAGTGAAAGGAGCAGGATGGAAATGCTAACAGTGAATGTTGTTTACGTTCGGGAAACTCCATTCATTCCAAAATCGAATGTTAAAATCAAGCAAAATTTTGTTTGACATTCGTTAAGTCTTTGGTGGCATTATCGGGTGGTAAAGAAAGATCTTTCAATGGTAATGAAAGGTTTTTTTTGTTCAGAAATCTACTAGTGTATGGCCATCTTCAGTTTACTGATTCAGGTGAAACTCTGCGGATTTCCATCTGCCAATCGTGTGCAATCAAAAATACAATTTTTTTCTTTGCACATGATTGGGTATTCTTTGTAAAGTGAAATTTCACCACATTCATCAAGCCAGCGTTTCTCAACCAGGGTGCCATGGCCTGCGGTGCCTTATGATGGGTGCCTCAAATTCTTCAAAAAGTATCATGCCTTTCTACGCTGCAAGTAGGTCATGGTGAAAGAGGGCTCCTAGTATGAGAGGGGGTGACTGATGTGAAAGAAGTAGGCTCCTAAAGTATTGCTGGGCATCTGATGTAAAGGGGACTCTGATGTGAAAGGGCAATCCCACTTTGTTTGTTTTTGCGTGCTGCCCCCCTTAAAAATCTATACCAGACCCCTATCAGGGTCTGGTATGGATTTTGAAGCGACCACAATTAATTTTTTACATTTATATTTTTCACATTTTAGACTGGGGTGCCTCAAGATTTCACATATTTTTATACAAGTAATATGATAGATTATGTCTTTTTAGTTGGAGAAAGAATGGGATCTGGTAATATTTTTGGAAGATCTGAGTTGGTATAATTATAACATTGAATATATACAGTAAGTAAATAAGGAAAACATAATTTTGTTTAGCACTTATATTTTTTCAAAACAGTACTTGTACAAACAAATGTTTTAAGATACTGATTGTAACATGTTTATCCCTGTTGGAAATGCAACAGCATATTATTGACGTTCTGATGTTAAATGTCTTTTGATCTGTAGATGACAGTGTAGTGCAAAGCTACTCTCTATGTGCATGCCTATCTATTATACACAGGAAGCTGTTTTTTCATTCTATATATGTTTCTTTCACAATGCTGTATTCAGATGTAATATTCTTCTAAGCAAGTCAAACTTAATTCAGATTTCCTCAAGATCTTAGTGCTTCATCTAAACACATAACCAACAGGTTATGGGCCCAGGAGCTAAATATACTATACTGCAAGTCAACAAGAGCTGCATCCAAGCTACTGAAAGATGGCAAGCTGTTTAGATATGAAGTTCAACAATACCAACTACCAGCTATGGAAGTTCAATCTTGAGTTGCTGCTAAGCAAAAGACGACTTGTGGCAAGTACGGAGTAAAGACAGACCCACTAACAGACCTGTGCAGGACAAGAACAGGCAAGCAAAAACTAGTCTGCAAGTGGAAGATGACCGGCTCATCCACATAAGAAAAGGGAATACAGCTAAAAGGTATGTGGACTGCATTACAAAAAACGATATCTGCTACGCAAGCTACAGTATATAAGGTGAAGCTAGAAAAAAAAACAGGAGATGCACGCCGTGAACATGTGAATGCCATGCTGGAAATCATAGAACTACGTGCAATTGGAGAGGAAATTAAAGATAACCATGTGGTGGCATTACTGCTATGCCAGAGTCATACATGGCTTTTATTAACTCTCTAGAAACTAGACTTGAGTAGGAACTAACACTACAATACACCAAAGGAAAATTTATTGATGAATTTGACAGAAGGAAAGAAAATATGCACAATTAAGAAAACGAGAAACCCTCAAGGTGCATGAGAGAACAAAGCAAAACAAAAAAAATCAGTGTTTTTGCTGTAAAAAATAATGGTCACCTGAAAATGGATTGTTCCATCTGGAAAGCTGAGCAAAGAAAGTGAAAGGCACCTACAAGAGAAAGAGCAAAGGCAGCCCGAAAGGCAACTGCAGACACATCATAGAGCGCTACCTTTAAAGAGACTCAGAACCGTATACCACTTGGATGGTGTATTCTTTTTCACAGAACTTGATTTTAGTTCAAAGGACACATTTTTCCTAGCAATCAAGAAAAGTATTACTGTGAAAGGTAATGGCCAAGGATTCTTCAACTGCATAACACCGTAAGGGGACAAACAGAGTATCCTCATGAAAAATGTACTGTATGCCCCAGACCTAAAGAAAGCTTTCTATCAGTGAAAACCCTTTCTAATAATGTTCTCACAGTTAAATTCCGAGTTGATGAATGTACAATCCAAAACAATAAGCAAGTCTTTGCAAAAGGAAAACTAGATGAACAGCTATGCACTCATCACCGCAGACGAACAAGTCAAAACAGCCACTAATAATCCACATAAGAAATGTCACGGACCACTAGGGCACCGAAACCCAAAACCCATTAAAAAAACATTATAAAGAGAGGCATATCAAAATATATAACCGTACTGCCCTGCCGAATGCTCATGACATGCAAATGCTGTATGGAAGCAAATGCCACACGTACCCCACTTCCACAGGCTACCCAAAGAAAGACCACCCACCCCATGGAGCTTATGCACAGTGATGTGTGCGGACCAATGAAAACTCCCCCTTTAGGCAGGAACAGATATCTACTGACGTTCATTGATGATTATTCCAGGTACACAACAACTTATCTGATTAAGCACAAGAATGAAACATCAGAAAAACGTCACAAGTTTGTAGCCTTGTCCGGCAACAAAATTCCAACAGAGAACAGGAATTATACACACCAACAACAGAGGGGAATACATTAGTAAGGCAGTGGAATCATATCTGAAGACACAGGGTAAAATTACACCCGAGAACCACACCATACACTCCTGAACAAAATGTTTTAGCAGAACGGAAAATTCGCACTCTTATAGAAATGGCCAGATGCATGTGTCAGACGCCAACCTAAGAAGTACTGGGGAGAAGCAGTCATGACTGCAACATACCTACAGACAGAACTGACTACAGCTGTTGCAAGCACCCCAAAATGCGGCATGGAGTGAAGCCTGGCCTAGGACAAATTAGAGTGTCTGGATGTAAAGCTTACACATATATACGCAAGGAGAAACAATCCAAATTGGAGAACACAGCCATAGAAGGTATTCTGGTGGGCTACAGTGAACAAAGAAAGGGATATAGAATTCTCCACTCAAAGACTGACAAAGTAACAATAGGTTGCAGCGTTTATCTTGTTGAGAAGCCATCACCATAAAACAATGGTCCCGGGAAGTTGTGAAGTGAATTCGCCCAGGGAATCAGCAAAGGAAGCTGAGCAAAGTGGAGCCGCACATTTGGAACTCAAAATGGATTATTCAAGTTCCGTGTTAAATTCTGCTGAACAACCTGAAACTTGTTGCCTGGGGCAACAAAGGGAATACCGCCCTGCAAGCTGTCATATACTGCCAAGACATGTAGCAGACTTGAACCAACATTGTGGGAAGACATAGGAACATACCAAAACGCGAAGCCAATTAATGGAGACAGGGAGCGGAAGAAGAAATAAAATCACTCCAAGAAAATAAAACCTGGACACTCACGGAGCTTCCTCAAGTAAAACCTAATTCAGCATTCAAGATCTCAGTGCTTCATCTAAACACATAGCCAACAATCACCATTTCCAGCTGTCACCACACCCTATGGATTAGAAACACCTATAAATCAACTAGATTAAAGGAATAATTGTAGCAATTTGGAAGATGTCTCTCAACAATCACAAGGAATACAAGGCATCCTCTGATTGGAGGGAGGAGAGGAGGGGTGAGGACATCCAATCACAGAGTGCCTTGTATTCTTTGGGAAAATTCAAGACATTTTGTGAGTGGGCAACAGTAAGGGGGGGGGGAGGTGATGCGACCAGAGCACTTCACTGCTCAAGATCCATTTCTCCTTCTCTTCAGTGCTCAGAAGCTCAGTGTTACATACACACATATGCAAGACTTTTATATTTTGCAGTGGTCCTCTGCACATAAACACAGTTTTTTCTAGAGGTGCATCGAAATTACATTTTTAAAACCGAAACAAAACTAAAAATAAAAACAAATCAGGCTGAAACCAAAAAAAATAAATTATAAGGAATCCTCTATAATGAGAGTTCCTGTTCATTCATAACTTGTGGAGATAGTATGTTTTCATGAATGAACAGGAAGTGATGTAAATCACTTCACATTCATTCATAATTGGGGATATAGTAAACATACTATATCCTCAATTATTTACAAGCAGTCAGCCATCACTGATCGCTGACTGCTTGTACCCGCTCTCCATCCTGACCTGCTGTCACAGGAGGCTGAGCGAATGGTGCGGGGAGGAGAGCTTGATTTCCTGTGACAGCTAACTCCTCCCCCCGCACCAGCCTTCTGTGACTGCTGACAGCTGTC